TGCAGCTTTATGGGGGGAGCTCTCTCCCATTGCCAGGGCCCAGTGGGGCTTCCTGTGGTGGCAGGGGAGGTGGGGAGCTCCCACATGGCCAGGACACCAGGAAGCCCCCGGGCTGGGACAGCAGCCTCTGGCCACAGTCACGAGGGAGGCTCTGCCCAGAGGCCCTTATCTTGCCTGACCTTGTGGAGGCTGACCACTCCCTCCTTCTGGAAAATGTGGCCCCCTGCCTTCTCTGAGGCCTCTTTCTCCTTAAATCCTGATGGTCCAGAGGTGTGGCCTCAGCACCCAATTCTACCCCTTGGCCCACCACCCTGGGGTGCCTTTACTGGCCCCAACTCATGGCCATCTTCCTGACGTCTGCCCCAGAGACCCTCGGGCATCTGACTCAGCAGCTCTGTGCCTGCCCTACTGCCCCCTCCCTCCTCCCAGTGCAGCTCTGCACAGCACCCTGTTGCCCAAGCCTTAACTGCTGGCCACTCCCAGCCTCCTGCCCTCCCCACCCCCACTACCAATTTGAATTCCTGACTACCCCTCCCTCTGGCCTCCTCCCTAGACCCAGGCCCTGCCTCCAGGCTGGGGGAAGGAATCCTCCAGATAAGGGCAAGGGGCAAAGGGACACACCTGGGTTCAGACCCTGGCTTTGCCCACAGCTTAATGAACGACCTTGATGAACAACCTCCCCTCTCTGTGCCCGAGTTTCTCCATCTGTAAAAGGGGGAGGTAATTACACCATCTGGATAGGGCTGCGGTGAGCAGTACGTGAGCTAAGGCACACGGCGAGGGCTCATAAAGGTCAGCCTTCTTTGGGAAGCATGGCCACCCAGAGCCCCAGGCCAACACTCTCTTGGGGCAGTCTCTGTCACAAGCCAGTCGGTGCCTTTGCTCGGTTAGGAATGGGCTAGCACACAGCCCCCATGCCTGCTTCACACCAGGGCCAGATGCCTGCATTATTATTAAGTATGCACCTTAGAACAAGACCCAGTCTGCTGGAGGAAGCAGGGGTGTGAGTGAGTAATTTATTTACTGGGATAATGCCTGGGTCCTGTCCATATATATGGGATGGGCAGCTAAGTCCAGTGAAGGTAGGGCAGGATGGAGGGTGCTTTTGAAGGACACCTTGGAGTGAGCTGGCTGAGAGACAAGGCCAGTTTTAGGGAATAGGAAATTGAGGCTGAGAGTCAAGGAATTGCCTGAGATCTCCCAAGCAAGAAGTGGGGGATCCAGGATTGAGTTTCAGTCCCTACCCCACTCTCAGGAGGGGCTGACCCCCCAGGGGAGCCCATTTTAGCCAAAGCACCCTGACAAAGGGGGTGTGGCCAGTGAGATTCCCCAGGCTGAGGACAATGTCCTGGAGGTCCAGCCAGGCAGGCACAGCCTGTTGGGTGGTCCATTACCAGAAGATTTGAGGGGAATTTACCTGGGTATTCAGGACACAATGGGCACACAAGCCTGTAGCCAGGTATCAGACACCAGGGCTTGTAATGGAAGTGGGGCCTCCAAATACAGGGCATTGCAGACCCCACATGCCACCCAGGACAGGGCCAGACAGAGCTAAGCCCAGAGGCTGGCTGGATCTGTGGGGCCGGCTGGGGTGTCAGCAGTTCCACCAGGGCCTCAGGAACCCTCCATGCCTACCTGGAGCCCGTTCCAGCTGGTTTCACAGGACTGAAGTTGGCCCAGCATGTGTTCTACCTAAATGACCTCCCACACCCTCCCACCCAGCCTCCAAATCCCCTCCAAGGGCGGTGAGACAGGGAGAGCAGGGTGTGACCAGAGACGGGAATGAGCTGGAAACGGGCCTCGGCCTCAGAGCTACTTCTGGACGTGTTTTACGTCCTTCATGCTGTGTTCTTGTGAACACAAATTTCATATGATGACTCTGAAACACATTAACCCTGTGTTACCTTTATGTTTTGAAGATGCACAGGGGCAAGAAGGCAAGAGGGGACAGGTCACCAAGAGGTAGAGGGGGGACAGATGGGCTTGTCCTGGAGGCTCCAACAGAATGGGGGGCCCCATGGCAGGTGGGCCGTGAAAAGGCTGTCACGCTGTTTTTGTGGCAACTGCTTTTTTTTCCTGCTGCTGGGTCTCAGTCTCCTTGTCTGTGAAATGGGGTAACCCAGGCCCACATTGTTGGGTGAGGAGCAAGAAATGAGGTCCGTAATGAGAAATGACTAAAAGCCTCTCCTCTGTGGGTGGAGGGCTGGAGAGGTGCTGAGACCTGCTCGTACCAGAGGCCCTGGGCAGAAGTGACGGCACAGGGACAGGCTCACTGACCCTTGCTCCAGTCTCTCTGTACGCTGCCCCTTTTGCCCTCCAGCCAGCTGTGCTTCCTATCCCCCCCCCACCTCCTAGGCAGGCCCAGACAGGCTCTGGGCTTCCAGGTGGTCCGGTCAGCTGCAGAGGGAGCCCAGCACAGGCCACAACCAGGCCTCCACTCCTTCTCAGCCTGCCCACCTTGCTAGACCTGTGTGGCCTCCCCTTGGGCCTGCTCACAGTCTTTGGGATCTCAGAGCCCTTCGGGGAGACAAATGGACCCAGAACCAGCTGCCCCTGCCACGGAGTCCCACCATCTGTGCCCTCACCAGCTCTTTGGTTTTCCTTTGGGTCCGTTGCCAGAACAGGGATGGTGGGGCCTGAGGCCCAGGCCTGAAGAATCAGAGACAATTCCTGTTCACCATGACACGAGGCAGGGGGAGGGGGCTCAGGGCTTGAGCGGGCAGGTGTGGGGCCACGATGCTCTGCCCAGGTGCGCACCGGCTGGGGAGCAACCCGCAGTACATCTAGACTGCCCCCTGGTGGTGGCATGAGGAAGCTCCTGGGGACTTTAAAACCCTCACCAGCTGGTGGGCAACTGCTCCCAACCCTTTTTCCCCTGCCTGTGCTGCTAATCCCCTGAGTTTCCCAAATGTGTAATCGTTCATATTCTCATGCTTTGGGGCCTTTGCCTCTGCTGTTCCGCTGCCTACGACGCCCTCCTCCTTGCTGCCCCAGTGTCCTGTGGTCAGAATTACCAACGCTTTCCTCTGTTGCTCAGGGTCCATGCCTTACTCTATTCCCGGGACTGCAGCTGTCCAGTGTGTGGTACAAATGCCTTAAGTGCAGGCCAGTATCCTGGTCCAGTGCAGAGGTCATGGTCAAAAACCACTTGTTCCTTCATTCAGCATTCATTTATTGAGGACCTACTATGAGCCAGGCAATGACTAAGCCAAAGGAATCTCTTCATGTGTGGAACTTACATTCTGGCTGGAGAGATGGCTGTGTGGATGGGACACAGCCAAAATAAAAACCACAGGTCACATACCAGGTGTGCATGAGGGCTATGGAAATACAAAGCAAGATAGAGGCTGGAGAGTAAGGGCTGGGGTACCACCTCAAGAGCCATGACATAGACTATTCTGTAGCTGTTGGAAAAAAGGTGAGTGATTTTGGCCAATGGTCAGGGAAGGATGCAATTAAGTAAACAGCAATGATACACATGGCTAGTGTAATTCTTGTTGGGTTGCATTGTCATTCTTATAAAATTCTACTGTCTTTGATTTTGAAAGTATATGGATTAATGTTTCCATTTTCTCACTAAATTGTGATTTTTCTTCCAGTGTGTAGGAACCATACTTGCTCCCACTCCTCAGCCCATGGGCCATCCCCAAACCCTCCCATCCTGGTGCCCAGGAGCTGGGAGGACTGGGCTGTCCTTTCTTGCAGGATCCGTTTCCCATTGCTCATTGTGCTCAGGTTCCATTCTGGGTTGTGAGCTCACAGGGATCTGATGGTTTGAAAAACTGTGACAGCTGAGAAGAGATATTTGCACACCCATGTTCATAGCATTATTCACAATTGCTGTGGGAGCAGTCCAAGTGTCCACTGACAGACAAATGGGTAAACAATATGTGGTATACATAAAACTCAGCGTTAAAAAGGCAGGAAATTATGACACATGCCACAACGTGGATGAACCTTGAGGACGTTACGCTAAGTGAAATAAGCCAGACACTAAGGGACGAATTTTCTATATGAGTCCACTTATGTGAGATCCCTAGAGCAGGCAAATTCAGAGACAGAAGACAGATGAAAAGAGTTACTAGTTATCAGGGGCTGAGGAGAGCAGGGAATGAGCTGTTGTTTAATGGGTACTGAGTTTCAGTTTTACAAGATAAAAGGAGTTCTGGAAATTGGCTGCACAATATGAATGTACTTACCACTGAATTGCACAGTTAAAAATGGTTGAGATGGTATATTTTGTTTTGTCTATTTCATCACAATTTAAGAAACTGTGAGCCAGTCTGGGCTGCCTCCCTAGGGCAGCGAAAGCCTTCTGGGCCTTTCCTGCTGTACAAATGGGTGGTTGTGAACATGAGGGGGCATGATCTTGGCTCTCTGTGGATGGAAAGCAAAAAGGGTTTTCTCCCCGGGCTGGGCCCCACAGCTGTTAGTGGGCACATCATCTCCTGCATTCTTTGACGGTAAGGCAGCAGTGTGTCAGGTTGAGACAGCCGCCAGGCCTGCTTCTTCCCTGTTCCTGCCTTCAGCCCTGAGGGACAGTGCGGTGCAGCACTTTGAATCCAGCTCGCCAACTACCCAAGGAACCTGCCCGTGGCTCCATCCTTCTGCTGGGAATGGTTTTGGCCAGTTCCTCCTGCTCCAGGGGAGCTGATGCCCTTTCTCTGACAGTGTTGCTGAGTGTGGGAAAACAAAAGGGTGTCAAACAAAAGGGGACAGTGAAGACTACCCTTCATCCCTACCCTCCCGGGACGGGGGTAAGGGCCCTGAGACCATGGGAGGAAGCAGCTCTACAGCCATGTGATCTGCCCAACAACGGGGGGAGGCAGGGCGTGAGCCTCAGCGGTTCTGAAAAACGGGGTCAATATGGAAAGGGGGCTGTTACTAATGCCATGCACAGTGGGGTCCCCAGCTCGGAAGACTCAGGCCCCACCCTCCAGAAAGGGCCAACACCAGGGACACAGCCCGAGGGCAGGGACGCCCCTGGGAATGACTGGCCATGCCAAGCCTTTGGGGCCCTGCTTCTCAGCCCTGGCTCTGGGGGCCCCGTGGAGGCCCTGCTAGCAGTGTAAGGGGGCACCCTCCCCCTTTGGCCGTGAATGTGTCTGTATCCCGTGCCAGCCCTGGCCAGAAGAGAGAGAGAGGAGAGGCAGGCTTTTAATTCCCTGGTTGTGCTTGCACTTCTAAAATATTTTCTTTTTTTACTATGAACATTTTAATGAGGGGTTGAACACAAGATGGAAAAATAACATTCTGGTCTTCTAGTTTTTTAAGAGGCAGGCTTTTCTTGAGAAATTTTCAAATATACAGGACAATGGGCGAGTTAAGTTAAAGTCTCAGGAAAGCCCACATTGAGTACGGAAAAAGGCACTTCTGCAAATACCTGCAGGAGCGAACTGACAGTCCTAAACAGCCTGTCAGGCCCTCAAGTGGCTGCTTGTTCTATTTCCTTTTGGAAACAGCTCAGTTCAAACTTAAGCCCTACTGCTCTCAGAGGCTAGGGGATGCCTGGGCACTGCTCTCCGTGTCGCGTAGTAGCACTGGAGCAAGTGCTGCTTACAGAGGCACAAGGAATGCGTGCGGATGCTTCTGGGCTGGGTGTGCATGGCCAAAGGCCACTTCCCAGGCAGGGAGCCTGGCTCATTCTCCATGGAGGGACATGCAGTCCAGCACGTGGGCCGGGACCAGGTCCCTCTGACCACCTGACTCCCCATAATAGAATCCCTTGTCATCTACAGTAAGTACATGTGGCTTACTGTGGCTACATCCTCTGCCCTCAGTGACAACTTGCCCTTCACCTGGTCCCGTTTGCCTATCCTTGGGGTCATAGTCCAAAGCAACCACCATGGTTGTTGGATCCCCCAGTTGGGGCCTTCTGGGGTTCCCTTGGGACATGGGGAAGGAGCCCTGGGGGCTGGTGAGCCCCGCAAAGTTATTGAGGTGGGCTACAGAAGGCAGGGGCCCTTGTGCTGGCAAATGCCACCTCGCCACCTCGCATCAGTTCTCTCCATGTCCACTTCCACCTTGGCCACCAGGTGCCCAGGGATGTTGCCCACTTGCCCATTGCATTCTCCATAGTAGGAGCCATGGGGGTCCTGGGAGCCCCACAGTCTCAGCAGCTGCCCTTTCTCAAAGGCTAGCTCTGCCTCGGGGTTGGCAGACATCACCAGGGGGTCATAATCGAAGAGGGCAACAAAGACCCTGACTGGGGTATCCACCCCTGTCCCCAGCAGTGGGGGGCCACCCCTGGACATCTTAATAACTTTGCTGGATGAAGCTGGGCAAAGGGCTGCACTGGGCTCCTGGAGCTGGCACTCCCTCTCATCCCCCAGAGCCTGACCTCTCCCCCTCTGGGTCTAAGCTCCTTTCTCTGCCCTTGCTTCTCTGTGTCCCATAGACCAAAGCCCACTGCCTCCTCCTCCTGCAAAAAGTCATGGAAGCCAGACACATATTGTTGGCTGGTGCCCAGCTGGGAAGGGGTGAACACTTGTGTGTGTTGCTTTTGCCCGAGGATCTTCTCAAGGGCACCCTTCTAATATGGTTCCTTCCTGGGTCCACACTCAGGGGCTTTGTCGGGTGCCCATGTGCTGGTAGTAGTCTTCCTCCCTCCTGCACTGGCCACTGGGCAGAGGCAGTCTGTGGTTCTGGGGACTCTTCTAAAAGAGCAGGGCCTTTCTGCGGACCTCCCAGGCCTCCTCAGGCCTCTGAGCTTGACTGTCAGATCCCGCACTTGGACATTCTCCTTCTGAACTCAGGCTGGGCAGTGGGGACCTCCTCCTTGGGGTTTCTTCAATGATTGCTTCTAGGAACTCAGCCTGGTTCTCCCCGCAGCGTCCAGGGGTGTGAGGGCTGCTGTTGGAGCTCAGGGAAGCTAGTGTCAGCCTCTGAGGGCAGACAGGGATGGTGACTGGGCAGGTGGATGGGTCACCATAGGTGCACCTCAAGGGAGAAGTCTCTGGCAATTGGTGACAGGCTAAACAGTTGTGAGGGATCTGAGCTGGCACAGAATCCAGAGACTCGCCACAAAGTGACATAGTTCTCACCGAGACCTTCTCGCACATCAGGGTAGGCTGGAGCTGGGAAAATTCCAACACGGTGCTCCCAGCTGTGGCTTCGGTGACCTCCGCAACCTTGAGCCCATCAGCATATATAGCATAGCCAGTGACCTGGACTCCGTTGGAGGACCCAGCTGAGTCGATGGTCACTGGGAGCCAGCTGACCACCAGGAGACCTGATGAAGGGTGACATTCCACCAGCACATCCAGGGGAGGGTCAGGGGGTCCTGCCACGGGTGTGTTGAAGGTGATGGTAGGAGACACTGTTTTCCAGCACACCTGCAGTGAGTCCCACGGTAGCTGCACCTCCACCCGCACCTGGTACCTTGTGCCAGGACACAAGCTGTGGAAGGTGTAGCAGCTCACCCCTGCTGGGGTCAGGGCATGCTCCTGGTCATCAAGGTATACCATGTGGGCATGGCTGCTGCTGCTGCTGTGTACCCAGATGATCTCAGCTGATGTGGCTGCAACTCTCTGCAGGTGTAATTGCATGGGGGCCACACAAAGGATCCCTCTCGCCCCCAGAAGGGATCTGGAGAACCTCTGCTCCTGTGCATAATTCAGTGAGTTCAGACAGCCATCTTCCATCTTGGCATCTGAGAGCTCTGTCGCCACTTCTGTCTTGGAGCCTACCCTCACCATCTGGCATGGCCCCTTGTCCACAGTTCCCTGGGCTTTCCCAGGCAATAGGCTTTGCCCAGTGTTTTCCTTTGAAGCTTTGCCCTGCCCAGCCAGGAGCCATGGGGGGCCAAGGTCAGGGAATGTCGGGGGCAGGCAGCCCAGGATGTCGTTGTCTGTAATCTGCTCCACCAGGTTGGAGGGCACCAGTCCTCGCCGGCCGTCCTCAAGCTCCCCTTCATAGAAGCCATCTTCATCCATGTCCCCGAAGATATATATATAATCCCCAGCTGTGAGGGGCAGCTCACTCTCAGGGTGCTCATTGGGTCCCTCAAGTGGGTTGTAGCTATACCGAGCCAGGAAGATCCTGAGCTGGGGGGTGGGGGGAGCCTCTGAGTCCCCCATTTCCAGGGTCAAGGACACACTCTCAGGCTCTAGATCCTCCACCTTGCTGGCTGTGTCCATGTCCAGAGTCGGGCAAGATGGCACAGTTGCCCACGCGGACCCCACCTCAGAGGAGGAGTCCCACTGGGAGCTAGCTTTCTTGGCCTGGGGCCTGGAGTCCAAAGGCCGGCTGTCTGGGATGCTGTCTGGCGCGTGGGGGTCGCTGGCTGGCTCCCTGAGGGCAGCTCGGCTCTCCAGCAGAGACTCTGCCTTCTCCTCCACTTGGTCTCTGCCGGGCTGGGACAGGGCTTGGTCTTTAGGCCCTGGCTGCAACTTGGTCCTTCCACTACCCGCAACTCGGAACTCCAGGGCGTGGGGGGCTCCCTCGGGTTCCTGGGGCGCGTGACCAGTCTGGCACGGCAGGGCGCGCGTCTCCTTCCGAGGAGCCTGCAGATCACACGGCGCCTTCTGCAGGTCGTGTTCCAGCTGTTCCCGCCTGTCCTGCCCGCGCGCCGCCTGCTGCAGCAGCTGCCCCGCTAGCAAGCCGGCGGCGTCGCGCTCCTGGCACGCGCGGCCCAGCTGTTCGCACACGTCCTTGTTCTCGTCCGCCACCTTCTGTGTCCAGTCGGCCTGGGCCTGGAACTGCGCCTTCTCCTCGGCCAGCCAGGAGCCCTCGCATTGAGCGGCCTGCAGCTGCGCCCCCGCCTCCTCGCCGCGCCGCTGCGCCGCCGCCGCCTGCGCGCTCAGCTCCTCGCACTCGCGCCGCCGCGCTCCCAGCTCGCTCTCCAGGGCCTGCACCTGGCCCCGCGCCTCCTCGCAGGGTGCGCTGCGGCCACCGGGCTTCGGGCGGGTGCTGCTGGTGGCCTGCTGGAGCGCCAACTGCCTCTGCAGGCGCAGCACCTCCCGCTGAGACTCTCGCTGCCGCCGGTCCAAGTCGCTGATACTGAGCCACTGGGCTTGGGAGACACCCACCCCAGAGTGCGGGGCGCTGGCGAGGCCCGAGGCGACGCGCGCCTGCAGCAGGTGGCACTCCTGCCGCAGCTCTTCGATCTGCTTGTCCTTGGCCAGCAGCGCACTCGCCTGCTCCGACAAGTCCCGGGCGCGCTGGCAGGCGAAAGCCTGGCACAGCTCCAGGCCAGCGCAGGTCTCGCCCAGCACAGGAGCGCTCACAGCCCGCAGGTTGGTGTCTTGCAGCTTGCGGGCCCGGTCCTCTAGGCGCTGCGCGAGGCCTGTCAGCTCCGCGCGCTTCTCCTTAAGCCGTTTCACCTTCTCATCGGCCGCGTCGGGGAAGCCCGCGCGCCGCAGCGGCGTGTTCTTTTTGTGCAGACCGGAGCGGCGGTGTGCCCGCACGTGCAACGCCTCAGACAGTTCTGAGTTCCGCTTCATCAGCTCGTGGTAGTTCAGGACAGGCGGCGAAGGGGTCAGGGACTCATAGGGCTGGCTCCCGGAGTCGTCTTCTCGTGGAGGGTCGCCTGGGGCCCTGTGCTCCGACGGTGGTGGTGGCGATGGTAGCGGCGGCGGCGGGGGTTTCCGGGAGCCCAGGATGGAGACGGCTGGCGAAGAGGCGGCCCGAAGGGGCTGGCATTCGGGGGCTTTGGGGCGACTCAGGGTGCTGTCGAGCGAGCGGGAACGCGCTGGTGCCAAGGAATTGAGGGAACTGGCGCGCTTGGGGAGCAGGCTGTCTGGAGAGTTGGGGCACGCCGCACGCACCATGTCCAGGGAGCGGGAGCGCGCGCGGTAGCCAGCGCTCACGCTGTCGAGGGATTCGAGGAGACTGGCGGACTTTGGGGGGCCTCGAGAGTCCCCGAAGGTCTTGGGGAACGGCTCTTCAGAGAAATGCCCGGCCTGAGGTCCCAAGGGACCGGACAAAGCAGGGTGCCAGCGGAAGTGCTCCAGGATGTACTTGAGGAAGAGCTGGCGCTCCACATCGAGCGCCGCCTGCAGGTGGCGGATGCGCGAGGCCTGCTCGCCGTCGGTCTCCCAACGAAGCTGCGCCAGCACTTCTTGTAGGCGACAGCGGCACTGTGAGACGGCGACTCTGGGCGCCCCCGCGCGGCCGCAGTAACCCCGGTTCACGAGCTCCTCGGCCAGCTGGCGCTGCAGCTCCCGGGCCTGGCGCACCACGTCGTCGCGCTCGCTGTGCAGCAGCTGTTGCAGCTGCCGCTTCTCGGCCTCCTTCCAGCGCAGCAGCTGCCGGATCTCGGCCTCGCGCTCTCGCCGTACCTCCGCCCGAAGCTGCCGCAGCTCCTGGCAGCGCTGTGCCTCCCACTTGGAGCGCAGGTGGTCAACCAGCTGCTGCCGCTCCCGCTCGGCCGCCTCCCGCAGCTGGCGCGCCTGGGCCGAGAAGCGCCGCCGCTCCGCCCGCCTGCTCACCCGCTCCGACTCCAGCTCGGCCCGCAGCTTCTCCAGCTCCCGCCTCTGTTCCTCCAGTACTGCAGCCGCTGGGCCCCGACTACCCGGCTTCTTGGGTGTCGCACGGCCGCCGCCCAAAGAGCTGGGCGAGCCGTTGGTCATGGTGGCCGCGGCCTGGCCAGACGCCTGACCTCGCCTGGCCCAGGCCGCTGATTGCCAACGGCCACCGCCCCGGCCGCGACCAACCGCCCAGCGCGCCCCTTCCGGCGCCCCCTGGGGGTCTCCGCGCGCCGCTTCCGCCTCTGGGTGTGTTCTCCCACCGCATCTCGGGTGCACTAGCCTGCGTTCCTCTCCTGGATGCCTAGACCAGGCTTAGGTTCTGGACGCCCCTGCTCAACACAGAGCCCACGCCCTTCCCAGGATGCCCAGGGGTCTCTCTGGCCCCGGGCCTTTCCCTGTTGTCGGAGATATGCCCCTTGCAGCCCACCGCGGGCGCTTTTGCAGGCACAGTACAATCCTTGCACAGGCCAGCATGCACTGTTGGAAACGCAGGCTGCTGCTCTGGGCCGAGAGAAAGTGGCTCCGTGTGTGGGTCAAGATCACCATGGGGTGTGAACAGACGTGGGCCTGGCCCTGCCCTGGGTTCAGGTGGCATGTTTGGCTATGGTGGCTGAGAACCACAACAGGATATGCCCAAATTTAGTGAGTCCTGGGCCCCTAACCAGGGGAGGGTACATCTGATGCCTGCATTCCCACTGCACCTACCCTTCCAAGGATCTCTGCGGTGCTAAGCACTTGCATACATTATCTGTTTATATCGCCCATGTCCATTTTACAGAGGAGATGTCTTGAGCTGGTAGCCTGGCCATGGTACCAGCTGAGACAGTAGAGAAGGGCTCCTTTGGCACCAAAGCCCTCACCTGTGTTTTCTTGGTTCACTTTTACAATTTTTTGGTAAGGACGTTATGAGAGATAAGGGCCTCTCCCTGGTCACACAGTCCAAAGTAGCTAAGTGGGGAGTCATATCTGCAAAAGTCCACCTCCAGCGTCTGTGGGCACTCTGGCTCCATCTGCTGGATTTCAGGGTCACAGCTGTGAAGCCTCCCACGCTTCCCCCCAGCCCCCCAAGGAGTTTCACATTTTGTGTCTGCAGAGGGAGTGGAAACCAAAGAGGCTGGTTAGTTGGAGGAGCAGGGAGGGAGATGAGAGAATAGGGCTCCCATGACCCCCCCGCCTTTGTTCTGGCCCAGGAGTGTCCAAGGCTACCTGCTTCTCCAAAAGATAAAGTCAGAGGCCCCTGTGCGCCCAGCTGAGTTCCTACACCATCTTCCTGGAGACAGCAGGTCAGAGAACATTCCATGGTTCCCCAAGGGGCAGTGTGGTCCAGTGGTTAGGACTGGTGGGCCTTTAGAGTGAAACAGTCCTTTGGCTTCTTGTGCCACTTCCAGGTCCTCATCTGTAAAACTGGCTAATAATGCAGCTGCCTTTGGGGCTGTGCGACCTCCCAGATTTCCCTGACTTCTCTGAATATCCATTTATTTTGTTTGTGAGGTTTCAATGAGGTAGGAGTACGCAGTGCCCAGAAAGCTCTGGTTGGCAGCTCACTTATCCTAGTCCCCTTTTTTGCAACTAGAGAAACTGAGGTCTACATGGCAGGAATGTGGCTGAGGCCAGCAGGGCTGCCATGATAGAGGCAGGAAGGTATTCTCTGTGTTCCCTGAAACTCACTCCAGATGCCTGATGATGAGTGGGGAGCGTCAGAGACATGGATGTCCATCTAGGCTCTGCCACTTTTTGGTTGAGTGACCATGGCTGGTTATTTCAGCTCTCCCAGCCTCTACACAATGGATATATTGGTAAAACTAGGCTGCCAAGGCTGGAAGAGCCACTGGGACTCTATCAGCTGAGGGCCAGGTGTGCAGTACGAGCTATCCTGAGGTCTGGTAAGTTCTTCCCATCCAGGGCTTAGCCTAGACCCTCACAACCTTCTTCCAGGAATCTGAAGAATACCCCTGTCTCAAAAGCCTCCGGGCCTTTCCATGTGGTTTCCTCCTGTCTGGGATGCCTACCTCACCTGGTATAAAAATAACAACAATGCCCACAGCAGACTGAGCACCTACCATATGCCACATGCACTCCTCAGGGCTTGCCATTCATTATTTAAACCACCTGTTTTACAGATGACAAGTCTCAAACTTGATCCCAATGGACCAAGAGTTCTGTTCAAAATGACAGACTGGTTGTGGGTCCCACGTAACCCCTGTTTGTGTTCACTTACCTACTACTAACCTTGTCTTGTCCTTTGGTCTCCACTTAGCAGTTCTTCCTCCAGGAAGCCTTCCCTGACGCTCCAGGCTGAGCCTAGGCTCCGCAGAACTCTACAGCCCTGATCATCCCACCTGGCACCTCTCTTTTTAAAGCAGAGACATGTCATACATATTTGTGTCCCTGTCTAGAGTGGGTGCAGAGGAGGTACAAATGAAAAGCCCCTCTCCAGAAAGGAGGGATAGAGACCCAGGGCCCAGCAGGATGGAAGGACATAAAAGGCCCTGCCTGATCTTACCTGGCTCCCTGGCTTGCCTACCCATTATGCTCAGGTGCCACCTGGTGGCTGGGGCTGGACTCCCAAGCTCTGGGCTGCCCATTAGGACCTTGGGCAAAGGCCTCATGCTGGGCCAGGAGGGAGGGTCAAACCTCAGCAAAGATGTTGATCAGGTCCTGAGCTGTGCAACACACATACACACACACTCATGGTCTCTCTCAGCCTGGCCACCTGTGTGGCTTGGGAGCTCAAGAACCCTGCTTAAATGAGGCTCTGCTCTGCCCTCTCTGCCTCTGCACCAAGTGGCTCCTGAAAGATGTGAGTGGCATCTGGTACCTGGTCATTTGCATCCAGGCCTTAATGCTGTGGTCATATTAGAAACCCCTTTGCCTCTCAATCTATGGTGTTGGCCTGGCCTGGGCAGCTCCTGGGTTCTCTCACAGCTCAGGCTCTGCAGCTCTGAGGGTGGCTGTCTAACCATGAACCATCACAGAACTCTTCTGAGTGAATTTCCCCTCCCTGGCACAGCTTCTCTTTTGTGGTTGCCCTTCCTGGGTTGCTCCTGGTGTGCAGCAGACAGACAGACAGGCACTCACTTAACCCAGCCTAATTGTAGCTGCAGATGTTCTCTTTGAGAGGTAAGGTGGATATGCAGGCAGATAGGTGAGACACAGGGATGGCCTGGTCCTGGGTCACTGGACTTGCCAGCCACAGGGAGGGCGTCTTCATGGAATCCTACCGCTGTTTGACAGAGAAGGACCTGAGGCTTGCTGGGAGCAGATGGCTTGCCAGGGCACATGTGGCAGAGCTGGACTGTCACTTGAGGGCAGTGGGTGGGGCTCCGCAGTCTGGATGCCCTGCTACAGCCTTCAGTAGGCCTTTCAACAGTCAGGAGGGCAGGCTGCTGCCAAGGAGAGGGATCCTGGGGTGAATCTCTGGGGACCCCACAGTCACCAACCAGCAGCCACCTATGCTGCCACCACCCTTGTCATGTCAGAAGCCTTCTGGAATGTGGTTGAGTGGATGAGCAAACCAGGGCTTCTGCAGTGCCAGGCTTCTGCCATCTCCCCACTTACCATGCTGTACAGTGACCTGCCTGTCATCCCCCCTGGACTCTGAGCTTAGGGAGAGCAGAGACTGTCATTAGCTCGCCATGTCGCTGCATTCCTTGGTCTTGCCTATGTTATGAAGGAGATGGATTCCATGGGTGGTTTTCAAACTGGGTTCCTTAGAGGTCCAGGGTTCCTGGGAAATACTGTAGGACTGATAAGGGTGGTGGTGGGATGTGTCAGTAAATGAAGCAGAGACACTGCCCCTAACTGCTTCAATAGTCATTTATTAAATGAGTGTCATTTATCAGGTTCTAAGGAGAACTTAGGTTTAATAAAAAGGTATGCTGCTAGAAACAAGTTTGAAAACCTCAGAGTGAGGGACACTCTTATCTATTATGTGCACACACAAACACTCCCCCACCCCCACCCCCACAACAGCCTGACACTCTGATTCCACTGACCTCAAGAGAAGGCACATGTCCCCTCACATCCTGGTTCGCCCCGGGCCACCATCCCTGTATGCCAGCCATCATGCGTCTCCCCATGGTGCCAGTCTGTGAGCTCTGGGCTGCGTGGTCATGGGGTCTGGGATTCTGGGCAGTCTGGCTCACATCCCTCCTCCGCCAGTCTAGTCTGGTTCTGTTTCAGCTGTGCCACCAAAGCCACGAGCTTTATGGTGCTTGCCTGGCCTTGGTGAGGGGCGTGGGCTCCATCCTGAGAGCTCCCTGACCCCCCGAGCTGCAGCTTTCCACCTCACTGCCCTTATTTTGGGGTCAATGTATTTTCTGTCATTTTTCTGATGTGTCCTCAGAGTCTAGAACAGTGCATGACCCCTGGTAGATACTCAATAAATATATGACTGAAGAAGACAGGCAGACAGGCCACATGTAGCTTCTGTCCTCATGGAGTTGACGGTTGAAATGAGGATGCAGAGGTTAAACACAAATATGGCAAAGAAAGGGAGTGAATTCTGGGCTTGGGTGGGCACTGAGAATATGGGGCGTGGTACTGATGGGGAGAAGAGCCTCAGAGTGGACTTCCCCCAAGGGGCAAGTTGGGAGAGGGCGCACCACCGCCCAGAGCTGAGACTGGGTTTCAGGCAGCAGGACCTAAGATGTCTGGCTGCCTGCACTGGCCTTCTCCCATGTTCACCCCACCTGGGGTAGGCCCGTACCCCTTCTACCATTGATTCTTGGCAATTCTGTCATGGTTCTCACTTGCCTGAGGAGAAATTGAAGCTCAGAGAGGAAGAGTGGCTCAGCAGGATCCCAAACAGATGTCCTTCCTCCAGGTTTGGGGGGCCTGGCACCCCTAGCCCTGCCCCTTCTCAGATGGGGCTGGGAACCTGGGGAGGAACTGTGTTGTTCTACCCCTCCATTTCCTGGGCTCTGCAGCCTGTGCTGGCCTGTCCATGCTCTTCTGGAGGAGCAACATGTGCCAGCTTCCAGCTCTCTGGCTGGGGCCTCCTGGCCTGCTGGGCTGGCCTCTCACTCTGGAAGCCCTGGCCTAGCACCTCAGGCATGTGCCTCTGTGGGTGGCCAACTCACTGCCATCTGCTCTTTACAGGCTTGGCCCTGAGACCTCACCGCAGTTGGGGAGGCTGGCACTGTCCTCTCCAGATGAGGAAACTACCCAGGGTCATACAGGGACTTGTGCCCAGGCCTGTGTGACTCAAGTCTGGACTGTGAACTGGTGCCAGTATAGCTCAGCCCACTGGGTCTGGCAGCCTGAGTGTAAATTTAATCCCCATGCCTTCAGGCAGCTGGCTGCAGGCTCCTGGGGCTCCTGCTGCTGTTGGCAGCATCGCGGTTTCCAGCTGCCTACTGTTGCCGGGACAGACCTATCATCCACCTTCTGCTGTCCCCAATTCTCTCTCCTCCAGGCCTGTTCCAACTGCCCTCCTTCCTCAGCAG